ATATGTAATCTTGCTATGTGATGCTGTGTACATGGAAATGATCTTTTTTTCCCTCTTTTTGTATTTAAGTTAAAAATAAATTAAAAAATAAAAAATAAAAGAATTTGATTAAACAGAAAAAAAATATATAAATATATGATGCTATGATCTGGGTGAGAGATGGTAAGAATCTGAATGAGAACGCTGGCTCCTAGAGGTGGGAGTGAGGCAGTGTGTATAGCAGTATACAAAATTGCCATTTCTCACATTTATTGAGTCTCCTTCCTTTACTCTATGCCAGGGTCCCCTCTCAAGGACACTCTATTAGTAGGAGCTCGGCTAAGTTTCCATCATTCAGTATTAAAGATATGGGGTAGGGAAATGACCTAGGATATCGTTGTACAGGGAGTTCCCAGTGAGGATCTTTCTCTACCAATGCACATTGGCATCTTCTTTGAAATTCATGGTCTTAGATAAATACCTGTGGCAGGAACAGTGGCTTGATCAGGGTCTCATAGCCAGTATGTGTCAAAGGCCACATGCAAACCCACTTTTTCCTGGTTCTAAAGCCAGATCTTTGACTACTATGACATGCTCTCTCTTTTCATCTGTCGTAGCTATTGAGTCATTTTTCAGTCATGTCTGACTCTTGGTGACTCTATTTTTTTCTTGGCAAAGATACTAGAGCAATTTGCCATTTTCTTCTCCCATTCATTTTACAGATGAGGAAGTTGAAACAAACAGGATTAAAGTAACTTACCCAGGATCACACAGCTAGTAAGTGTCTGAGGCTAAATTTGAACTTAGGAAGATGAGTCTTCTTGACACTAAGCCCAGCCTTCTATTCACTGTGCCACCTAGTTCATCAGTAATAGCTAGAGTTGTCATTTTTATTATATTAGCTCGGCCTACCCATGAGCAACTGATGTTTTTTTCAATTATTTTGATCTGACATTTTTTGTGTGTAAAGTGTTTTGTAATTATATTCATATAGTTCCTGGGTTTGTTTTTGGCAGGTAGACTCTCAAATATTTTATAATGACTACAGTAACTTTAAATGGAAATTCTTTTTCTATTTTTTTGCTGTTGGGCTTTGTTAGTAATATTTCATCAGTAATAGCTACAGTAACTAGTGCACAAAAGCAATTCTGTTGCCACTAATAATAAAAATAATAGCTAATATCTAGATAGCATTTACTATGTCAGGCACTGTGCTAAGCATTTTATAATTATTATCTAATTTAATCCTCACAACCCTAGGAGGTAAATGATATTATTATCTCCATTTTATAGATACGGCAAACAGAGGTTCAATGACTTGCCCAGGGTCAACAGCTAGTAAGTGTCTGAAGCTGGATTTGAATTCAGGTCTTTCCAACTCCAAGCCCAGCACTCTCTGAGCTATCTAGATACCATGAGATCTGATAGAGACTAATTGAACAGTTGGGTTAGCTAAACAACCAAGCCTAGTTGAGTCAGCAAGCAATTATTAAGACCTATTCTGTATCAGGCTCTGTTCTCTGAGCTGGAGTTACAAAGAAAGGCAAAAATAATCCTTGACCTCCGGGAGCTCACAATCTACCAGAAGGAGACAAGATGCTAGTATCTTTGTACAAATAAGATATGTAAATGATAAACTGGAAAGGGAACAGGCATTTATGAAGCACCTACTATTTACCAGGTGCTGTGCTAAGAACTTTACAGTGGAGAGTGATAGCAGAAGAATATAGCACTGGGAAAGGACTAAGAAAAGGCATGTTACTGGAGGTGCTGGTGGGCTTAACAGCCATGATTCCACAGTGATTCCATATATCCTTTATGGCATCAGTTGCTAGGTTAGATGATTCATTCATGGGGCATTGGGGGAGGGTGGGAAGCTGGAGAGGCGGATTGTAGTTTGCCCTTCCAAGGCATGAAGGAGTGCTAAGACAAAGGCAGAATAGTGCTACTGCTGGTCCAGGAGGACAGCAAGTGGATCCCAGGAGCTGGGGGTAGGGTGGGGAGAAGTCTGCACTTGGTAGGGGAGGAGGAGGATACAGAGGCAGGAAACATATCTATGGTGGTTGGGGGGGAAGAGGTTATATTCACAAGATATCAGTTTCTGGGACACATCTCAGATTATTCAGAGCCAATTCTGACTTTGGATAGAACAGTATTTTTTTTTCACATTCATTTATTTTATTTTTAATTTAGGGAATAAAACAATAATTTCCATAACATAGTATAATAAAAAATACGATTCACATGAAACCACAAATCTATTATGATGTACAACTTGCTATTCCTTTTAAATATACAATAGTTATCATGTAAATTTCATTTTTTTCCCTTTTTTTCATCTGTTCACCCTCCTTCCACCCACAGATGGCTACCATTAGACACAAATAGGTATATCTATGTAATATTATTCTATACAAATTTCTATTCATCAGTTCTTTCTCCAGATGCAGATAGCATTTTTATTTATATGTCCTTTATAATTAATTCAGATATTTATAATAGTCAAAATGACTTATTCACTCAATGTTGTTCTTAAAACAATATTGCTCTTACTGTATAGAGTAATTGTAAGACAATAATTTGACATTTATCATTGTCATCATCATCTAAGATTTATATAATTCTTTAAAGTTTGTAAAATCTTTCACATCTTAGCTATAATAATAATAACAATAATCATAATATGTTTGTCAAATTAAATACATTCAGCCAAAATGTTTTACATAAAGAGAAAGGATTTGGAAAGAACTCTAAACTTGGAATCACAGGACTTGAGTTCAAATACTGACTCTACCATTTACCTTGTATGACTTTGGATAAGCAACTGTAACCCTTTTTAGGCTTAGTTTCCTCAACTATAAAATGAGAAGGTTGAACTAAATGATCTCTAAGGTCCCTTCTAAGCTTTACATCAATGAACCTAAGACTTCCTCCCTTAAGGGTCCAAATACAGTAAAACTATCCTCCATCAGGTGCCCTGACATGATGAAACAATTTAAGATAAAGAAAGAAAGCCTCCCAATCTTTGATACCAATTTTCTGAGTATTCCTTCATGTTCTCATCATTGACTCAATTAGATGATTCTGGAATAGATCTCAGCTAATTTATAAGAGCTTAAAATCAAGAGATTTATTGTTTTGTAGATCACATGCTGTGTCATTTATGAAAGAATGTTTCTGGGGTCCCATGTGACCAGATTGTTCACTTAGTATGAACAAAGAAGGCCCCAGCTGTTTTGTATTTGACACCACCACTCCAACCAGAAAATAACATTTTTTGGCATCATTTGTTTTTAAGAGCTGAACTCCAAATCCAATAAACAAAGGAAAAAATCCTCATAGAAGCTCCTTGAAGTCTCAGAACTTCCAAGGAAAAGTTTTTTCTTTTTACTTTTTTTCCAACCAATTCACTTTATCCTTGTGGCCTGACACATTTTCAAAGCTGTCATTGTGCTTTGAGGAACAGAAAACCTTTAGTTCTCGAGAAGTGAAGTTTGGAGTAGCTAGAAGGAGGAAAAGGGTAACCTGAACAACTTCAGTGTTTTGAAATGTGCTGGTTCCATTACTACAACAACTCTAACCTCAGCATCCCTACTTTCTGGGTTCCTTTGCCATCTGTCTTTTGTGAAGAAACACTTTTTAAATGAAGCATTGTAAACACTAGCCATTTATTCTTAGTATTACTGGCATATAGTCCAAGCTACCTGTAAGAAAGGAGGGAGGAGGGAGGATATGCCCAGCCTAAAGGATTTCTCCTGTGGGGTCAGTAAGGGGAGGAAGGTCAGAAATAGGTCAATTGGTAACTTTTTATTTTAATACATTATTCTCAATAATCTAGGTACTAAATTTTGCTATTTTATGGTGGGAAGGACTATGAGAGTTATTAGCACTCTCTAAATTCAGACTTTGGAGGGTAAGGCCTGGTCACCCTGCCCCAGTAACATTTCTTTTGCATACTGCACATATTGTAGCATTCCAATCTTTAACTTTCAAAGTCCTTCTTTATGTAGTTCCAACAAGGAAAACTCAGTCCAAGGGATGATAATGGTGTCACTCCAATTATCTCATGACTTTGCAGTGGATCCCAGAATTTTCAAACTATATTGAAGCCAGGAAGATGTTGAGTGTCTTGGGAACATTAAGACATAGATTCCTTATTTTTTATTAATTGGAGCTAAAGCATCAATCCTAGTCTATGCTGGTTCTTGTAAGATGACTAGGAGATAGGGTGTTTTCATACTACAAAAATATCTCCATCTTTTGACAACTAGCTAGGCCCTGGGTGTGGCCTATATGATGTCTCAAAGTAATTAATAATTAATAATTTAGTACTTGATAGTGATATCTAATTGTATCAAGGGAATTGGAAAAGAAAAGATAGGGGGTCCTTTTTGCCAAGTGGATTGAAATCACTGGCTAAAGCGCACTTTGAAGAAGGTATACTGCTGATGAAAAGGCAAAACTAAAACTCCCTAAATCAGGGGTGGGGAAACTGTGGCCTCTAGGTCCTCAAGTGCAGCTCTTGGACTGAATCCAAACTTCACAGAACAAATCCTATGAAAGGACACCAGGTTAAGGGTCTCTGATTTAGTCCAATTCTCACTTTACGGATAAGCACACTTGGACCCAGAGAAATGAAATGAGCTCAAGATACATAGATAGTAAGCGGCAGAGTCTGGATTCAAACTCAGGTCCTTCGACTCCAAATTCAATAGTCTTTGCAATATGTCATACATCTCTAAGGTCTTTTTTAGCCCTGTGTCTGTGAACCAGAGAGAGATATAAGATCTTACATTCTTACCTAGTAGAATGCAGTTTCTCTGAGGGCAAGAACTGTTTCATTTCATTCCCCAATGCCTAGTACGAAGGAGGTACTTTATAAATATTTGATTGATTGATGGGAATCCCATACCCTGACCAATTATAGAGTTTTTTAGGAGAGATTTCAAGTCTCTCACAGTAATCACATCCCCGTATAACACTGCCCAACCAGCTTATTTCCTCCAGGTTCCTTGACTTACCATTGATTGATGAGACTTTTAATGCCTCTTTTGGCAGCATTCCAATTGTCTTTTCATTCCAATTATGTATTTAAGAGCTTGAGCAATTGAGTAATATATGAAAATACTTGAAGATGATGAAGTCCTGTCTGCAGAGAGTAATGTTATTTTCCAGTATAATAAGTCACTTAGACTATATTCTTTTAGAATCCAGACTTGTCAGCAGTTTTACAAGAAATAAATCATCTTCTGATATCCCCACCTTTGGGACAGCCCTTAGGTCACAACACTTAAGATTTTTTCAAAGCTTTATTGAATGTTTTGGTAGCAGATGTCAAGTAGACTGACTATTGCAATTTATAAAGCTTGACTTATGACTTCCATTTGGATAAAGTGCTGCAGAATGCTATCTCTTTCTATATACAGTGAGACCAAAAAAAGCAAACCTCCCTCCAAAACACTCTAACACTCCCCCCCCCCCCAAAACACTCCAGGTTGTCAAAGCTTCAGTAGAAAAATGAACTGACAGAAAAAAATAGTAACAGGGCTTCAATGAAAAGAAATTAAATAGAAAAAGTCTCAAGATCACTGGAGAAGACAGAGTTCTTTCCCTGTTTTTTTTTTTTCTTTCTTTAAATTTTTTAACCAAATGAATGAGAATTCAGTTACCTTTACCTTAGAGCTTTAAAATGTGCTGAGCTCAGTGCAGATTTTTAAGAAGGGAGTTGACATGTTGGATCTTCTCTGGGAAAAATAAAATAAAACAAAAAATTGATTAGGATGAGAAGGGTGAAATCCATGTTGTGAGTAAGGAACCCTTGGAGAAATTGGGGAAGTTTGGTCTTCAGAAGAGAAACTCTGGCTGGAGGCAAGGAGGGAGACAAAGACTTACAGGACAAATATTTGTGGAAGAGAGATTAGACAAGGAGGAATATTGAGTTGAATATCAGGAAAAAAAGTTTTTCTAGGCAATAAGTGGAATAGTGGAATAGGCAATGCAGTCACAAAAATCAGAGAAAATCCTACCTGATGCTGACTAGCTAGGTGATGTTGGGCAAGTTACTTTACCTTGAAGTTTCTATTATCTGTTAAATGGGGATGGAGAGACCATTGCTAGGTAAGATAGGGTTGTATACACACACACACACACACACATGCATATATATGTACATGTACATACATACATATATAATGTAGATTAGGATCAAATGAGATATATGTATAAAGTAAGAGAGTTGTCCAAACATTGAGGGTTCAAACATTATGTGGTTGGTTTTTTTTGATGTGATCATAAATTGGTTGGACTAGATGGATCAAAGCAAAGTATGTGTTTTCAGATTTTGGGTTTTTTTTGTTCTTTTAAGTGAGATTGGCTAGACTTGAGTCTATTTGAAGGCAGATGATAATATAATGAGGAAAAGGAAGATAATAGGAAGGGAAGAGAATAAGAATTCATATAGTGCCTACTATGTGCCAGAGACTGTTAAGTGTTTTTTTATGAAAATTATCTCATTTGATCCCCAAGTCAATAATATATTTAGCATTTATATAGCATCTTCTATGTGCCAGATGCTTTACAAATATTATCTTATTTGATTTTTCAAACAATCCTGGGAGTAGGTGCTATTATTTTATAGAGGAGGAGACTGCAGTTAAGTGACTTGTCCAAGGTCACATGGCTAGAAAGTGTCTGAGGCTGGTTTTTAACTCAGATCTTCCTGATTCTGATTGGGTAATGGGACCCGGACCCCTAAAAGGAAAAGACCATTCTTTGAAAGCAACTCAGTCCCTGAATTTTCTCATACATTTCAGCAACTCAGATCACTGGCTCCTCTGCCCAAGGTAACTGGCCCACCCCAGCCCACCTAGATCACCTAATTAGTTTACTTTGGCCCACCCCAAGACTACTGGGCATGTACTGATCACTCCTTAATCCCACCTAGGTTACCTAATTAGCCTATTTGATAGTCCTTTCACTGTTTAAATCTGGCCCACCCCAAACTACTTACCACTCCTTAATCCATCCAGATCCTACTGTGAAAGTCCTTTTGTAGATAAGCATCAGTCTCACTCCCATTAAATTGCAGATTCCCTAGGAAGCCAAGCCCCTTACTATTGGAGTTACAATAAACCTTGTCACATGACTGGAAGAAGGTTTGAGTGCATGAATTCATTCCAAGTGGAAGTCACCCTGTACCCTGCCATTTCAGGATTCCCATCAACCCTAAACCACATTAATTCCAGGCCAAGTATTCTATCCATTGGACCACCAAGCTACCAGATTAGAAAGAGCCAGGGGAAGAAAAAGATTAAAGATATATGGAGGAAGGCAGTGAGTCTGGGATGACCTTGAGTAAGCATGAGGGGATGGGATCAAGTTATTGGAAGATGGATTAGACTTGGCTAGGAGTAGGAAAAAGAAGAATAAAGGAAGAATAAATGAAGTTGCTGAGACTACTTTGCTTTAAGCCAGTACTACATAATATGCATAATTTGAAGTCAAAGGACAGAGTTTGAATTCTATTATTTGCCACCTATTATTTACTGTATAGTCTTCCGCAAGTTACTAAAACTCTTTGGGATTCATTTTCCTTGAGGATATTTGCATTAGAATGACTCCTGGACTCCCAAGGTTATGGCACTGGACCAGAGTTCTGTGCCTCAAGTTTGGTATTTGAGGATAGTGGAAGAATGTAACTCAATTAGAGAAGAGAGATAAGGGTACCAGAAGTGAATAAGAGGAAGGAAGTACATAGGCAGAATTTCAGCCATGAGCAGGGAGCACAAGACACAGGGTCTCAGAATGATTGGGAGATTGTACTGTTCTCAACATTAGGGCTGAGTAGGGAGATCCTTACAGAGTAAAGGGAGAGAGGTGCTGTGGTCTTATTCAAACCACCTTTGGGTTGACTCATTTGCATATCAGAACCACCTTAGAGTTGACTCATCTGTGTATCAGGATTATTTGAGCTACTTGCTCCCTGGAATGAGCCACATAGAAGGGTAGAGGGATAATATTTTAAGACCTGCTTATTTATATGGCCATAGAGCCTAAATAACTCCATTTTGTTATATATTTAACAACAGGATTGGACTAATTGATCTCTAAAATCTCAATTCTAAATCCCGTGCTTTTGAGAATGAACCTCTGTCATGAGCCCAAAGTGTCTACTTGAAAAGAGAATGTTGTATTCACCAAAGAATGCAGGATTTATAGTCAAAGATTCTGACATCTGATTTTGCTACTTCCTACCTGGGAGACTTAACTCCTTGGGCCCCAGTTTTCTTATCTGTAAAATAAAAGGTTTGGAATAGATGACCTCTGAGCTCCCTTCAGTTTCAGATCTATAAACCTATGACCTACAGTACATTCTTGAAATAAGCCATGGCTAGAAGACTGTCATCTCTTGACATTTGTACTTGAGTAACTCAGGGCTTCTGGGTAGTGGGTAGTTCCTATATGGGTTGAAACCACTATATCACACAGTTCAAAAAAAGTTCATTGGAAAAAAAGATTACCTCCTTTTATGGGAAATACAATTTTAACTCTAAGAATCTTGATCCTTCAGAACCGATTAGAGTCTCTTTGAGTATGTGGGAGGTTTTTTTTTTTAACTTTTATGAATTTGAATGTGAAGAAATTTGTGAAACATTTTTAATGACCCTTCCTCCCCTTCTCCAAGCTTCCCATAACATGAAAAGGTTATTTTTAATACAGACATTTTCTTGGTGTTGCTGTACGGCAGCCAGACTTAGAACACCATTGCCCCTTAAAACTAAAGAAGCATACCACACAGAGAGCAACAGAGAAGCTCAAGGTGAGTGTGAACAGGCTAAAGCCAATGAGGAACTTTGAAGAATAGGAGTAAAGGATGTCATCAACGATTGTATGAAAGAAAGAGAAGGTGGCTAGTCATGTTTTGAGATCAAAGGATGACAGGTGGGCAGACAGTGTGTCTGATGCACCTGAAACTTATGTGTGTGATCTCCTTTTCTGTAAAGAGTTCCTTGAGAGCAGGGATCGTCTGTTTTTTTTTTCCTATTTGTATCCCCAGGGCTTAGCATAGTGTTTTGCACATTGTAATTGCTTAATAAATGCCCATTCATTCATTTGTTCATTCATTCATTCAGTGGAGCCCTCTTGGTTTCAGAAGAAATCAAGGAAGGTCTCTAGCATATTGAGTTGACTCCTTGTGGTTAACTTTTGGGAGTACATGGACAAGCATGTCATAGAATGGGCAGGTGTGGATGGAGTATCATCGACATCATTGGCAGGAACTCTCAAATATATGAGTACATTTGAATCAGCCAACGTTTTTAAATACACAGGTAGAGATCACCATAATAGACTGATGTAATATTTCCTTTTCCACACAGGATCAGTCATATTGTTATTCTACCTGACCATATTTATACCCAAGTGAAGTCAACTTAGAATGAATGTCAAGGGCAGCTTTAAATAAGGAAAACTTATAAAAGGAAGAAGGCATGGATGAGGAAGGAGTGATTGGTGAGTGGGAGTAAGAACATGTGGTAGGAAGGAAGGAAAGAAAAAAATGAAGGAAACAAGTACTTATTTATTACCTATTACGTGACACATGCTATGCTAAGTACTTTATAAATATTATCCCATTTAATCCTCTGATAACCCTGAGAGATAGGTACAATTATTTCCTGCATTTTACGGTTGAGCAAACTCAGGCAGACAAAAGTTAAATGACTGGGTCACACAGCTAGTAAGTGTCTGACATGGGATTTGAACTTAGGTCTTCCTAATTCCAGGCACAGCGTTCTATCCAGTGCACCATGGGTTTGTCATACTTATAGTCAACAGGGATTGATTAAGCACTAGGTGCCAGGATCTGTGCTAGGAATATAAAACAAGAAAGAAAACAGTACCTGCCCTCTAGGATCTTATATTCTAATGGAGGAAGATGATATATAAGAAGTTAAAAGTGGAGGGGGGAAGGTGGAGGTATGGTAGAGAATGTCTGGAGGAGAGTCAGGAGTGGAGCCCTGAGAGCAAGACTTGGCTGGCCTGGGCACTTTCCTTCAAATGGAGTTCCTTGGAGGAACCAGGCAAAGGAAGTGGCTATGGGGGTAGATTGTACTTCCAGTATATGAAAGTCAAGAATGAAGTGCATTTCCAGCATGAAGAGGCTGCTTCATCAGAGTAGAGAAAGTTGTAGAGCATAATGAGTGAATATGGGAGAGGAATGTATAGTCATATATAATTATGTCTTTTTTTTTAATGCCATCAGATTGGAACCAACCTTCCCTCTATTTCTTATATCCTTGAATCATTGACCATCTACTAGCTTGCCCACTCAAAGCAGCTCTAATTTTCCATGCCCTAGTGGCAGCTTTCACTGGAGATCTTGATTAGAATAGTATGGTGCTATGGACTACACTCCATTAAGTATTGAATAAAAGCTTATTGAATGAATGAATCACTATCTGAGGTGCTGAAGTTGTAGCTAAGGACGGCTGCCCTTCTTAAATTCAAGAATAGGGGATTTAAATGTTGGGAACTAGATCTGTGATTTCATTACTAAAGGAAACTTCTATCTACCAATGTAGGGAAGCATCTTCTCTGTAATTTACAGTATTAGAGACTTACCTATGACACTGAGAGACTTACCAAGTGTGATATCATCAGTGTGTGTCAGAGGCAGGACTTGAACCCAGGTCTCCCAGATTTCAAGTCTAGTTTTATCTACTGTATCATGCTGCCTGTCATAGATGATGCTATAATTTCTCAATCTCAGTGAAGCAAAGCCAAAGCAAGAAAATGTCAAGACCCTTACCTTTACACAAGCCAAACAGCTCCCTACAATAGGTTCTGACTTCCCTTTGTAGGAGAATTGAGAAGCTTAGGTGGTGATCCATCTTCTCAGTTATGGGTTTTCTTAGCATAGTCTACTATTTTTCCTTCCTGGTTTGGAATAGCTGATTGCTGGTTGGGATGTGGGAGAGGTTATAATTGTTAGGATTTAAAATTCTATGGTAATCATCATCCTTTATAGGAGCCAATCCCTAAAAAAATAATGAGTAGAAACTGTTTGCATTGTGCTTTAGACCCCTGAAAGATTTGAATGGATAAAGTGATATTTGGTTAAGTTTGTGGTGAGGTTCCAACAGGGCAAAACCACTGGACCCTTAAAGAACCCACTAAAGGTTCTCTAAACTTCCCATTCTTAATGATCTGTCTGGTTCACTGTTGTTTTGAAAACATCTAGTGGTTTCCATTGGGGAGACTCTTCTCTCCTAAAAAATAAAAAAAAAATCGAGGTTAAAAGGAACGTTCCTTGGCTTGAAACTTACACTAAAATAATTATTCTCTGCTTGGGTTAGCATCCTAAGGCATCATTTAAAAAGGATTATAGATTTAGAATTAGGTGGGGCCTTTTAGGTCATTCAGCACCTTCGTTTTGTAGACAAGGAAACTGAGGCCAGAAAGGGAAAATAACTCCCTTAACATCACCTAGATGGTAAATGGCAAAGATAGATTAGAATTTATGTCTTCTAGTACCAAAGTCAATATGCTTCTCTTTGTATCATATTAATATCATCACCTCAAAAAGGAAGATGAACAGGAGTATTTAAAAGAACCAGGACTATGAAAATGAGAAAGGGGTTTGGTAAGTGTCTATTTCTCTTCCCCAGAATAAAAGAGGTTTCCCAATTACGAAGCACCACTGAGATGAGGAACGTGGGAAGCGAGAAAGTAGGAGGGTCTGCATTTAGATATTAAAGGACAGGAAAGGTCAATTTTTAGTCTAGGACAAAAATAATTACATTTCTGTGACATTTTAAGGCTTACAAAGTACTTCCCTTATGTGTGTCCCTTCACTTTTTTTTTTGACAGACCTATGATTTCATTATGTAGGTAAACTCCACCCCCGATTAAGTTCAGCAAATGTAGGGCTTAGCAAAATGCCCAGCACACTGGGGAGTTACTTGCCTTTGGGGTCACATAGCCAGCATGTATTCGAGGCACAATTTGAATCATCTTCCTGACCCCAGGTCTTTCTCTCTTGTATGTGCTAGACTGCTACTAATCCCCTTTCATTTTACAGAGGAAGAACCAAACCTTGGAGAGGTATGATGATTTCTCAGGATCACATGATTAGTGAGTCCCAGAGCAAGGATTTTGAACCCTTTTCAGAGTCCAATGTCATTCCTCTTTCCAATGTACCAAATTGAAAGTAGCTAGGAAGGGAGAAGGGGATAGAGTGCTGTACAGTCAGCCCTTCCACATGGTGGAGGTTAGGGGCCAAGTACCCCAATCTGAAAGATGTTTTGGCCTTCCTTTCATACTAGAGAAGAAATCTGGACTTCTTGCTTTTTCTTTTATGGAATGTTTACGGTACCTTATTATAAAATTTGGGTTAAGTATTTGATCATGGGCTCTGTGTTACCTGTTGGCCTTCAAGTGTCATCTGCAGATTCCACAAAACTTTCTAAAAATTCCCGTTTAATTTCTTATGCCAGCCTTCAGTATATCAAAACCACAATGGAGAGAATCACTATACAGAAGGGATGACTGTACTTTATTGGAATCAAAAGTATCTGAGTCCAAGTTCTGCCTCAGACTAACTAGAGTGTGAACTTGGACAAATCACTTCTCTCTCTGCCCAAGTTTTCTTTTCTGAAACACGGGGTGATGATAATATCTACTTCATGGCATCAAAGGAAGATTTCAAGGATCAAAGGAGATAATATATGCAAAGCACTTTGGGAACTTTAAAGAACTATGCTGTTATTATTATTTCTGTCAGGCTGATTTTAGATTCGGTTCATCTATGGAAGAGAGGCCAGAACAGTGATAGAAACGAGAGTTTTAAAGTCTTCTTTTTTTTCCCCTAGAAAGAAAAAGAAGCTGACTTTCATTGTGGTTATCTGACCCTCAAAGCATAGATGTCTTAAGATTTCCAAAATCTTGGAAAGTTAAGTCCTAGAATCAGAAAGGACAATGGCAGAAAGAAACCTCACTCCCAGCCTCCCCACCCACACTAAGACAAGTAAGCTACTTCACATATCTGTAGTTAATTTCCTTTTGCAGGGTGATTTGGCCTATTTTCGCATACTAGGGTTTCCTAGTACAGTGCCCAAGACACAGTAGCCATTCCACAAAAATTATTTGCTGATGAGCCCAAGTTTCCAATGCAAACTAACTTGTCACAGAGAGAATGAGACCTTCTGTGGATGGGTGTGCTTTTTATAAACAAAAAGGGATTGGCCAAGCCTTCCATCAAGTCTTCTTCCTCCAAAGCCTCTCTACCACCTGTGGAGATCCACTTTTTAAAAATTAGATTTTTCTATTAAGCATTTGTTGTATCTCCCACCCATCTTTTCCCACTACTAAAAACAAAAAGAAAGAAAAAACTTGTAACAAATATGCACAGTCAAGCAAAACAAATTTCCACATTGGCTGTTTCCAAGAATGTGTTTTATTTTTCAATCTAGTTTATCACCTGTCTGCCAGAGAAACCTGGGAAGACATACATGAACTGATGAAGGGTGGAGTGAAATGAACAGACCCAGGAGAACAATTTATACTATAACAACATTCTAGAAACCAACAACTTTGAAAGACTCATAAGATTCCTAATCAACACGATGACGAACTGCAATTCCAGACAATCAAGGATGAAGAATGCAGAACCTCTTTACTCCTCTGGGAAGTCACCTCACCCCATCCTAGCCCTGGATTTCCTAGAGGGGTAGGCAACCAAATGAGCAGAACCAGAACAACCAAGGTATACAATGACCGAGACCATTGCAAAAGGAAACAACAGAAAAGCTTTAGAATCCCAGTTAATTCCATGAACAACAATAAGTAAAGTAAGCTCTTGGTTAGCAGAATCTGGGTGAATTACAGGTGTGGAATGAATCATGAATTATCAGTGTATTGTTCTAACTATTTGCAATTTCATTGCTTTTAATTTTGATCTCTGTAGCCAAAAGAGCAAGGCTAATTTGTTTCCCCATGACAACTCTTCAAACAGTTGGCCACTGCAACCAGGTCTTTTGTTCCCAGTTCTGTCAACCCATCTGTCCACGGTATACCACTCTTGTATGGATAACAGATTGTGGTGGACCACATTAAGGAAGTTCTGCCTTTCTACTAACTTCTGTATGGTGTATTTGATGAAATATCCCTTTTTATACCTGTGGTATTGCTCTCTCTCGAGATTGTACAACCAATTTCATAAGCAGTCAAAGAAGCAGAGAGCCCTGTTCTGCCACCTACAACTCTAGAACTATTAAAGATGGAATTTCTAGAGAACTAGCCAAACCATCTGTGGAGAAACACATGTTTCTTCATTTCTATTAAGGTTTTGTATGAACTTGACTAAATAAGGAGGAAGACTGATTTGGACACAAGGATGATAACATGTTACTTATTAAAAAAGAAATAGGGACTGAGGGTTTTTTCTCCTTCAATAACAGGAAAGCAAATAGTCACTCCTTCCATGCTAAGGGGTCAATTTCCTTAACCACCATCAATTTTATCTTTTTCCTTCCTTACTACCATACTTCTCAGGCATTCAAAGGCAATTGAAATAGAGAGCTCTCGTTAAAATAAATCACACTGAAACAAACAAAAAAATGAAAATCTTCATAGAAATATTACATTTATTGAGGAACTTTAGGGCTCTAATTTCTCCCTAGCTTAACTGAAACTAAAAGATGCTACTTGGCAGTTTCTTATTCTTAGGTTGGGCTGAAGCAATTGAGGGCTCTGATAGCTCTATCTTCTCCAATTAGAGTATTTTTATTCATTAATTCAGCAAACATTTATGAGGTACCTACTATGTTCCAGGCATACACCACTAAGGGGTAGCTAGGTGGCACAGTGGGTAGAGTCCTGGGTCTTGTGAGAAAGGATTAGGAGTTAGGCATCCACAACAGAGCAAGGGGATTCTGAGGACTTCCAAGACCTTGTGGATAGTCCCTCAACCAATCAGAAAGTGCTCCAAACATTCTGCAGACCACTCGTTCCTTAAGAAAGAGCCCTGGAGGCTAAACCAGTTGCAACCCACTGGGGTCAAGAACAGGGCCTCGACAGGGCAAAGCCTTTTTTTAATTTCACTTGCTTAATCATCTTATTGAACATTAACTGACACACCCTGAGGGCAGAGATAGCCGCCATTTTTGAACATGGAATGCATGATCTGGGTGGAGTTAACATGACAAGGAAGAACACAGAGGAACAGGGATGGGCGGTTCAGGAAGAGTGTAACCCAGAGGAGCCGGTCCAATCCCGGGCTCAGGGGGGTGGAGTGTGGATCTTGCTAGCCTCTTAAAAGTTGATTCTACTGCTGTCCCATTGCTAACCGGCTACTCAGGGTGCGGTCTGCCTGCTTCTTGCATGAAGCATGAAGGCTTTTCTTCGCTCACTCCTGCAGTAGATTTTTGGTCCTGATTGTTCTCACGACCTGAAGCCAGGAAGGCTCATGTTGCAGATGGCTTACCTGTTTTCTCTACTCTTAGACTATAAACTCCTTGAAAGTGGGGGTGGTGTTTTTCGATTTTCTTTGCCTCTCCAGCACTGAGTACAATGCCTGGAACTTAGTAGCAGCTTAATCAATGCTTGTTGACACGCTTCCCAGCTCTAAATTAGGTGATGAAGGGTTAAGTGCCTTGCTAGGGGTCACACAACTAGTAAGTATCTGAGGCTGGATTAGAACCCAGTTCCTCAGCATTCAATACTAACTTTTCCCTTAGTCCCTGAGGCCCCAAGAAAGGGGCTTAAGACTTTGGCCTGTCTTGTTTGTCCTTTTCAATCCAATGACTAGGGAGTACAGCTTAGGACCCAGGATCTCAAGACATGGGGACATTGGTTTGATTTTTTTTTTGACTAGGTAAAAAAGGCCATTCTTTGCCTCATTTCTTACCTAGCCTTAATCACTGAATGGGTGTTGCCTCAGTCAAACTGAGACTTGAGAAAGACCTTAACTTAAAAAGGCCAAGGTCTCTCACTGCATCCAGGGCCCTCTCCAGTCCTCCTGATCTATATCTGGCCACTGGATCCAGATAGCTCCAGAGGAGAGAGCGAGGCTGGTGACTTTGCACAGCCCTTCCTCACTTCAGTCCAATTCACTTGCAAGTCATGGGCTCACCTTCCTGAAGTCATGGTCCTCCTCAAGAACAAAAGACAAACAACAGCAAGAAGCTTGGTTTTGAGCTTGGTACTTGGATTAACTCTTTATAAGAACTGAGTTAAGCTGCAAGTGTAATTCCCCTTCCCTCCCTAGAGA